ATATATATAGCCACAAAATTCTAAGAAAACAGTGAAATCTTTCCATCATCTTGCTAATCTCAACAAAAGTGTCTGTAGGATAGAAATTATACTGATGTTCAGAATTCTATATTTTTTACATCATTACATGTTGGTCTCTCAAGGCTTTCTAGAATAAATAATCTAAGTACAGTACTGTAAAGAACCAAGCTATGTATTTTTATTCTTAGAACTGGCTAAACTTTTGAGTCATATTTGGAACCTAGGTAGAAATTGAAGGTAGATCAATGGCAAAAATCTTTCCTCCCACTAATAACCCAGGCTGTGTGGGTAGCTTCCCAAATCTACTTACCATAAACCTTGTTTTTAACAAGAAAATAAATAGATTAGCTTCAAAGCGTTGGAAAATTCATAAACCTATAAAGACCTTAATTTGCATTTTAAAGTAAAATTTCATTTTTCTTATTATTAAATTTAAATATTAAATACTCATAAATTTATACTCTGCTACCTGTTCATAAAAAGGTCATCATTCTAAACTAGGGAACAGTTAACATATTCAAACATGTTTTTACTAAGATCTACTAATAAAAATTACTGTAAAAATATTCCCTTATAAACCTTTAGTTCATTCTGATGTAAATTCATTTAGCCCTAAGGAACATTTGTTAAGTTCATCTCCAGCACTTGCATAGAAGCCAACTTTTATCATTTATTGAAAAATTTTTAAAAATCGTTTGAGCTCTGTATAATCTATCATCTTTCAAATCAAATGAAGTAATTATGGAATTTTATAACTTTCCTTGAAAAGTTATTTTCTCTCCAATGCCTATTGATTTGATTTTTATTCTCCCGGGGAAATTTTTTCTCTTTTATTCATTAACCTAATGTGAAGGTATTGTCCAACCAGAACAAGTAGCTGGTCCTCTTATATTCTTCATTAAAAATATTTCTCTCAAAACTGGCCTCATCTTCAATTTCAGGATCCTTCACCTCAGTGTGCTTAAATCCTGCACAGAGCACATTCATGAAGGAATTAAATGAAGGACAGGACAACCTCCATTCTAGTCTTCTCTCC